TGTTTGACTACAGTAACAGTAAACATGTTTGGCCAGATGAAAAACAGTTTTTCAGGAGTTGTGGAATCAGTTCCCAGTTTGGGTTCAGGAGGCAGACACCCTCTCTACTTTAAGGTTAGGCATAAAACTTTCCTCTTTGATAAAGCTGATAGTTGGGGTTGCTCAGAATCACCTGAACTTTTCTTTTCTTTTTCTCCTCCCTCTTTCCCATCCCCACTCTCACAACAACCAGTCTTGAGCTTGGTTTGGTTAGAGATTCGATTGGAGATTGTTGGGTTGTCTGTTTAAAATTCGTGGGGTAAATGGTAAATGGTTTTTCCACCTTAGTGGTACTCAAAGCGCTTTACAGTGTTTTCTCATTCACACAAATATTCATACACCAATGGCGACAGAGCTGCCATTGGGAGCAACTTCAGGTTCAGTGTCTTGCCCAAGGACACTTCAACTGTGGAGGGGCGGGAGATCGAACCACCAACCTTGTGATTAGAATACAACCGCTCTACCACCTAAGCCACAGCCACTTCGCCTTACTATGTAAAACGCTGTGAGATGACATATGTTGTGAACTGCGCTATAGAGATAAAAATGAATTGAGAACGTCACACCAGCCATGAGGCATTGTGGTGGAAATGCTCTGGTTTGGAAATGTTTCACTGCTTCCGGGACTGGGCGGCTTGCAGTCACCGATTTAACGATGTACGCTACTGAATACCCATATCAAACACAGGCCATCTCTGTAAGCTACTACCAGAGAAATTCCTAAACATAAACTTGGAGCTCCTTTGTGGCAGCATTTAATCCCAAAACAACTTGTAGTGTCCATACATAGTGTCCATGTGGTAAGCCGAAAAATATTAATTTCAGATCATTCTAATCTAATCTAATGTTGGTGTGGCGATGAACATTATGTGTGTACCTGGGACCAGGAAGAGGAAGTTGGCTAGGTGATGAGTTCTCTTCTTGGTCTCCATTCTTCTCCTGTTCGGCATTCTGGACCTTCAGGTAACTCTTTGCTTCTCTGGAGTCTGCTGATACCTCCTTATTCACCCTGGCAGAGGGAGGAAGATACAAATTTTGCTGAACTTGGAAAAATAAATGCGGATGGATAGTAAATGCAGTATACAGTATGTCTATGGAGCAGCTTGAAACTAGTGTAGTGAGGATGTCAACATTACACCTTAAATGTGTGTGTGCACTAGGAAATATGAAAAACCTCTCCGTAAATGGGAAAATGTAAAAAACTAACAAAAAAAAAGAATGAAATCTTGAGGGACAAGTTGTGATTGGTCAACTGGATTATTACATTTTATTGCCTCCTGGTTGCCGCTGTGATGACGCAGGAATTGGTTTGTGGGACGTATGTCTTACTCCTGTGAGATTGCTGTACAGTTTGGTATGCTTTGAGCAGAACCTGAGCCTGAAAGTTCAGGTAAGGCGCTTTGTAGTGCAGCAGTAAATGTAGTAAATTAGTCCTCTTTTAATCCCCCGCTTTCAACACTTTTGATATGTGAAGCATATGAGCATATCAGATGTAAAGATTCATAATTAAAATGAGTACAAAATACTGGCTATCATGTCTTCAAGTGACTTGAAGTACACAGACTGTCACAAGATCTTGGAAACTGACAAAAATGTGTGTAAGTTGAAACCTCTGATAATGAGAAAAAAAATGCTTTACATACAGCGTCTACTGCAGAGCAAGAAGTGTCGGCACTGGCAATTTTTTTTGCACGCTAATCCACTGCAGCAACAGAAGGCATTAACTGTCCGTCACTAATGTTGTGAAGGCACTGAAACATTAAAAATTATGAGGAAAGTAAGGGCTCTATTTCTGATAGGCTTCTGGCACAATGTAATTCAATGATGATTTACGTGGACAAAAAATAAATACAAACACAAAATAGCATAATTTTAGTTCAGCAGCTATGATAAAGTGACAAATTGCATCAACACATATCTAATGTGCACAGCTGCTGAGCCAATTCTGTGTCTATAGCTGTGTCTTAACAAGTAAATAATGAAACAGGATGTAGGCTGGCCTCTCACACATCAAACACAGACAGACAGACAAACACACACACCTCTCATACGCATGCACGCACGCACACACGCCTGTGTCTCATTGTGTGGTTACATAGGGAGGCTATATGAGGAACAACCGCTGGATCCTCTGGGAACATCAGCACTATAGAGACTCCACAACCACTTGCATCCATCATGGCAGAACTGAGAGGCGTTCTCTTAAGCATGCTAATTATATGCAGCCATGATTACACAGAGCACACAGTTCTCCAGAAGATGAGGAAGACCATTTTGAAAGGGCGAGTCTCTCTCACACAAGAGACAGATGTCTCAGTAGCAGAGAATAAACTGAAAAGACACAAGTGCACCCGCAGGCTCAGGTGATGGCCGTCTGGATAAATCTTGGAGAATTTGGACCCTGTAGACAGCATCACTGAAAGGTGTTCAGACAAAAACTGTCTACAACACCAATCAGACATAAGAGCCAGCAAACATTTGCTGCGGTTTTAGAGGTGGGTTATAGCCATCATAATGACTGCAGGGGTGTGGCTGTCTGGGTGATGTATAGTTTGTTCATCATATACAGTAATAATTATGGTGTTTTCATGGGAAACACTCGGATGTTTGTGTGACTCTGATTTAGGAAATGTCATGAGGTATGATAATTACTTGGGCTCTGTTGGAGATATGATTGTAAACTGAGACTGTCCCATGGACTCATGAAACTATTCACACTTTTGAACAAGCAAAAAAAATGGATAAGTTAGAGAGGCTAAGTTGAAAATACAGGCCCCAAGGTAGAAACCCAATGCCCCAAAAGTGAATGGCTCTGTCATCACAGACACACAAGTTAGAAAACCTGTGATCACTGAAACAAACCTGTGTTCACTCAAAATGTCCAGTTGGCCAAACTGCTCACCATTTTCTTAATTTCTGACCTTTGTGTTGTGTCTATCTGCATGTCTGTATCACGTCTCCACGTGGAAAAGGATTGACAGTGGAACTGAAAAATCTGATTAGGACTTAACAGATATGGAAAGTGATACAGGAAGATTGGTGGCCAACTAAAAATTGTTAAAACACAGTGTGAGCAGTAATCAGGAGGTAGAGAATGAGCTGTAATACCACTAATCAGAGCTGGAGTGGTTGTCCTCCTGACATGAAGCCATGGACAGTGCACTACTTGTACAATCTAGCTCAGAAAAACAGATGGTGCATCAGTACTCCTGGCTATACACTCTGTGAAAAGGTCAATGAAAAGCATAACATTTCCAAGTCACTGAGGAGTCCAGGTAAAATGGACTGTCTTTGAAAACTGAGTGACTGTGCAAAATAGAGACTGCTGAGGGAGGCCACCTGTGGTTCCTCTAAATGAGTTTATGGGGCTGAGATGGTGGAGACTGTGCATACAACAAATGTTGTCCGTATTCTTTTACTGGTCATATCTTAATGGGAGAAAGGCCGAAAAAGCTGCTGCTCATAATAAATCCACTCTATGGTTTACTAGAAGGCATGTGTGATGAGCTGAGGGTCCTTTGGTCTGATTAGACCAAGATTAAGCTTTTTGGACATCAGACTAGACCAGGGGTGTCCAATCCTGGTCCTGGAGGGCCACAATCCTGCATGTTTTAGATGTTTCCCTCTTCCAATAAACCTGATTCAAATGATCTGGATCGTTATCAGGCTTCTGCAGAGCTTGATGATGAGCTGGTCATTTGAATCAGGTGTGTTGGAAGAGAGAAACATCTAAAACATGCAGGATTGTGGCCCTCCAGGACCAGGATTGGACACCCCTGGACTAGACCCTATGTTTGATATACACCAAACACTGCAGGTTGTGGACGGCTTGTCAAGGCAGAGGGTAAAATGAATGCAGCAAAGTATACAGGTCCTTGAGGACAATCAGATGGACTCTGCAGGAAAACTGGGACTTGGAATAAACTTTGTTTTTCAGCAAGACAATGACCCTGAAGCATCCGGTCAGAGCTGCTCAGGAATGGTTTAAAGACAACAAGGTGAAGGTTGTGGAGTGGTTGAGACAGAGCTCAGACCTTAATCCAACTGAAAATTCATGGCTGGACTTGAAATGGGCTGTTCATTCATAATCCCTGTGCAACCTGTCAGAGCTTGAGCAGTTCTGCAAAGAAGAATGGGGTACAACTGCAGTATCACATGTACAAGGCTAAATGAGCCTCATCCATGCAGACTGAATGCTGTAACTGCAGCTAAAGGTGCATCGACTAAATACTGACTTGAAGGGGGTGAATATTTAGGGAATCACTTATTTTACATTTTATATTCATAAACAACTGATATTACTTTACAGAAGTTTGCTTTTACTTTCACATGAAAGAGTTTTTTTTCTTGTCATACAAGACTTAGACTGACAACGACTCAATATGACTTTTTACAAGCACCAGACTCCAAGACTTTTTTGTGAGAATACCGTGTGTTATGTATGTGTGGAGTGCCATCTACTGATCAGTGAGGAAATGGTGTGCCACCTAATTCAAGGTTATCGGCTTCAACATCATTTACATGCATGTCAGCGACTGAAGACAAGAATAAATGCTCTTTTTAACAATAAGGTTGATCTCATTCATCTACTACACATTATTTGACTATTAGAAGTAAACTGTGAGCTTGAAAAGGTCTTAAAATGTGAGGCGAATTCACAGGCATACCTAACTTCTTCTCCAGCGAAGTCAAAAACTTTAGTGATGGTGACTTTAGCAGGTCCTGATGCTTTTGGTTGAGTTGTCAAAGGAGCAGCCTTCAATACTGAAGAATCAACCTGAAGATAAAAACAAAAAAAAATCAATCTTAGGAGCCATGAAAGACACACAGATACTTGATATTACAATCTCCTTCCTATGCCTGATGAATTTGGGGCCATCAAACAGCTAACCATTGATGGGTTTAGAACAAAGCACCATTTGAAAGTCTCTCTTTGACTCAATGGTTAAACTGAAAACACCTTTTAAAACTTTGGGTTGGATTTATTACCTCTCCCTGTCTTTACATTTTAAACATGGCACCATCATCATTACATATCCAGGTTTCTAACATGTTTACCTTCTGTGTGGTACTTGACTGTGAGGACGGTGTGGAGTCTTTGGGTCTGGATCCAACGTCAGACAGGAAACTTGCCCACAAGTCATCTGATTTTTTCTTCTGTTTTACTTCATCATCATCCTTTTCATTAGCGGGATTTCCCACCTCTTCCTGTGGTGGCTCTGTCTCTTCAGCTCCATCCTCCTCTTTCACATTTACTTTCAGGACCCCTTTCTTCCTTTTTCTGTAATTGTTTTTTTTTTTTTTCATTGATACAAGTGAACAAAAGGTCAACATCATTAGCATCATCTCCTGTTACTAACACAAGCATTCATTTTCTACTATATACCTTTTACTAAAAATTAAAGTGTTGTTTGGAATTAAATTTCTTCTGTTTTTCTGTGTAGATAAAATGACAACACTTTGTGTGAAGAATTTACGAAAAGCCGCTGTGTCTGTTCACTTCATGTCAACATGTCACAGTTAAGTTTTGTTTCAGGAATTTGTCCTGTGGTCTAATACACTATACAACAGGCGTGAGTACAACCCTGTGCAACCCCATCTCAATATCAAATTATTCAAAATTGTATCACCTCTCAATTGCAGTATTTTTGAAGTTGAACAGTAGGGTATTTCTCCTCACAGACAAAAACAAATACTTCAGAAAGACTATGCTGAAAACACAGGCCCCACAGAGAAACTCAGTGCAACAGAAGCAAATATATCTGTGATCCATGACACACAGGTGAAAAAAACCTGTGCTCATTAAAACATAAGTTGGTGTAACCCTGGCAAGGATCTCTTAATGACCAGCTCCATCTTATCTTTAAGACCTTATTGTACCGTATCATCCTAACAGAGCCCTTCGCTCTCAGACTGCAGGTCTGGTTGTGGTTCCAGAGTTTCCAGAAGTAGAATGGGAGGCAGAGCCTTCAGTTATCAGCTCCTCTGTTGTGGAATCAGCTCCCAGTTTGGATTCTAGATGCAAGACACCCTCTCTACTTTAAGGTTAGTCTTAAAACTTTTCTCTTTGATAAAGCTTATAGTTAGGGCTGCTCAGGATCACCTGAACTGTCCCTTAGTTATGCTGCTATAGGTTTAGACTGCCGGGGGATTCTCATGATGTACTGAGCTCCTCTCCTCTCCTCTCCTCTCTCTTCCTTCCATACAGTTCTAATCGCCATTACATGTCACTAACTTTGTGTTTTCCCCGAGGTCCTGTGTTTGTTCTCTCTGCGGATGTCTCTGTCTCTGGAGCTTCACGTCTCTGACCTGCAGCCACTGGCCTCACCGACCCCCTAAATGTTCCTTGTTCTGATCTATCACTGCTCTCAATCTACTATCCTGTTATCCCCATGCCCCCCCTGATCCCCACCCTCGCCCTAACTGATCGAGGCAGATGGTCACCTTTCCTGAGCCTGGTGCTGTCTGAGTCACCTTTGTGCTATTTTAATGAGTACGGTAAAGCAGCACACAAGAGCAGCTGAAAAAAATAGTGCAAACAAAGTATTCTCTGTCGAGAAAGCTTGAGTCTGTCATTAAAAATATGGTGGACATACGAAGGACTCAACAATTGAAAGATTTGAGTCTCAGTAGTGAAAGGTTTACCGATTTTAGTTGCACTGAGTTCCAA